CACACATGTACCGGACAGGAAAATCGCACACGTTCGGGTTGTGAGCTCACAAGGCCCCGAAAGTTTGGTTACGTGTCCTGGCGATTTCGTGATTATAGCGACGCGTGTTCTTGTGATAGTTCACATTCGATGCCTCTGGTACGCACTGGGCGCACTGGTACGCACTCGTACGCACTGGGCGCACTTGTACGCACTGGGCGCGCTCGTACGCACTGGGTGCACTCGTACGCACTGGGCGCACTGATACCGGGCAGGCATGGCGAATACGTTCGGATAGTGAGCGCGAACAACCCCGCGCGCCTGGATGCGCGCCGCGCTATTTTCGTGATGTCTTACATGGAACATGTGCCAAGACCACCAAACCCCCTATTCGCTGTTGTATAAGCCTGCTACGGAGGCTAGGGAATCGCGAGTTACAGCTGCGAACACGTAACTATTCAGGCTTCGTCAAGTTTAATACTCAACCGGAGGTCACGGATTAATGAAATGTTTAAACTTTGTTCATAACAGCTACCAACAGTACTGGTCACCAGCTGCACCCAACACCCAACTACACATCACCTGACCAGGTCAGACACAGTTCGCAATTCACCAGTTTCCCATCCCCAGAATGCAACGCGAAAACAGGTGGCTAAACGTTAACCTCATTTGCATAGGACAGGAAGGCATCGGAATGATCCTGTTGACGTGAAACAGCTTGCTTTTCAGTGTGTTTTGAGGTGTTGGGGCATTTCATGCTCAATGTTAATTGAATTACTATGGGTTGAATCTGACAACAAGTAGAGAATGAATTTTTTGAAATGAATTGTTTGTAACGCTATAGTGGTAACGCTATATGATGCTGTAACGTTACAAACCACATGTTCTGTGTTGAAAAGAGCACAAAAAATTCATTCTCTATTTGTTGTCAGATTCGACCCATAGTAATTTAATTAATGTTGAGCATAAAATGCCCCAACACCTCAAAACACAGTGAAAAGCAAGCTGTTTAACGTCACCAGGATCATTCCGATTCCTTCTTGTCCTATGCAAATGAGTATACACTCTCTGTTTCCGCTAAGCATTCTGGGGATGGGAAACTGATGAACGGCCTTTTTTTTATGGTAAAATAAGAATATTCTTCGATCAGCGACTGTTTTTGAAAGGTATTCCAAATTTTCGGTGTCGACTGTACATCTTGATCACGGAGTGACCTAGTCTCGCGAGAACACGAGACTAGGTCGAGACTTGTGTGGATCTTCTGGCCTCCCCCGCCTCCTTGCGGAGTACTTGCTTTTTTTTTTACCTTTAAAACTTTGTTTTTCACCTTTTACAACACAATGCACATAAAAAAAGTTCAGGGACTTCCCCAAGGTTTGTTTATTTGTTCGAAACGTCCTTTATTCTTCAGGTCCTCTAATCAAATCATCATAATTTCATTGATTTGATTTTCCAAATCCTGATGTTCTTTTGAACTTGCTTTGTCCTTCCTACAGTAACGATAACATATTGTATTGAAGCAACTTGTTGTATTCAGGTTTTCTTGATTCTGCAGTACATGTATGTACTTTGTGAAGATAACTGTTACTTACGCCGACTGATTTGAAGTGAAATTTCTGCTTGTTTTTCCCCTGTAGATCCTGGTGTATTTTGTGAGTGAGGAGTTCGGCAGTATCCCAGGGATCCAGGGTCTGTTTGTGTCCTGTCTGTTCAGTGGGACACTCAGGTCAGCAGGGGAGGACGGGGTGGATGGATGGATGGATGAATGGGTGGATGGATGGATGGGTGGATGGATGTGTGGATAGATAGGTGGAAAGATGGATGGATGGATGAGTGGGTGGATGGATGAGTGGATGATTGGATGGATGGATGGATGGATGGGTGGATGGATGGATGGATGGGTAGATGGATGGATGGGTGGATGGATGGATGGATGGATGGATGTATGGATGGATGGATCGATCGATCGATAAATGGATGGATGAGTGGGTGGATGGATCGATGGATGGATGGGTGGACGGATGGGTGGATGGATGGATGGATGGATGGGTGGATGGATGGATGCATGGATGGATGGACGGATGGGTGGATGGATGGATGGATGCATGGGTGGATGAATGGATGGGTGGATGGATGGATGGATGCATGGGTGGATGAATGGATGGATGGATGGATGGGTGGATGGGTGGATGGATGGACGGGTGGATGGATGGATAGGTGGATGGATGGATGGATGGATGTGTGGATGAATGAATGAATGAATGAGTGAATGACATTGAATGTAGCCGGGGTCTCTATATCACAGTGGTCAACAAGCACCTACATGTATTTATGTATTTGAATTACTGAGGTTACATGTACCTGAAGTTAACTTTAGTAGTTGTAGTCAAAGAACACAGGGATTGAAGACATACTAAAAGTACAGAGCAGGCATTTATTTTGGTATATTGTAATTCTCTAAGTTACGTGCAGCATGAAGTTGTATAACGTTAAACAGTTACTGTCACAGTGCATTTTGCAGAATGATGTATTTTGGATATACGATCATGTAGCATCGCAATAACTTTGACCTTGCATGGTGTTAGTAATTAAAAAAACATAATTAAAAGTGGAAATTTTCACTCCTAAAATTAGTGTTGCAGCTTCTGGGTTCAACGCCCTAGCGACCGTTACCCTGGTGGACATCATTCGACCAATCAGGAACCGGAGAAGACTGCTGTCATCATCAGGCAGTACTGCAGGACAGGAGGCCAGGGATACCTGGATATCCAGAGGACTGTGTGAGTAGCATAATTCGGCAGAACGTATACAGTGTCTGCACGAAAACTTTTTTTTTCATGTTTTTTATTTGATGCTGAATTTTATAATCTGTTGCAGGCAACATTTTTTCCAACACAACATTTTAAAACTATTAGACAGGATGACACCCGCAAATACGTGAATATAAACTTAAACAGGAACAAAGTTTAAACATTTCATTAATCCGTTAGTCTCCACCAGACTCCTTTGTAGAAATCGGCCAAGGGGAACATGATGAGCCAGAGGAGTTGG